AATAATACCACTGATCATTGCCGGTAATAACAATATCGTCAACAAAAACCACCAGATAAATACAGAGATTTGAAGCAGAATGCTGATAAAACACAGAGTGATCAGCTTCACTACGAGTCATGCTAAACTCTTGGATAACTGTGCTGAACTTACCAAACCAGGCTCGAGGAGACTACTTTACACAATAAAGTGACCGGCGCAGGCGACATACAAAACCACTAGACTCCCCCTAAGCAACAAAACCAGGTGGTTGCTCCATATAAACTTCATCCTCAAGATCACTTTAAGAAAAGCATTCTTAATGTCCAACTGATAGTGAGGCCAATGGCGAACAACAGACATCCCGTATGTAAAGAAGACATCCTGTCAATCATAACATGTCGCCATCCTGGATGAGACAATGCTTCACTTGTAGACTTAGAGATGGAAATAGAGGACAAAAAAGATACAAACGCATAATAGGGTAATGACAGACAATGATAACTTAAACTGACATAATGGGGATTAGTATTATGTGTGGTACATATACCTTTCCGAAGTGCAATAGGTTGACTAGGATGAGACAAGTCTGTAGTAAGAGCAGGATCAGGTGCAGGACGTGAATCAGCTGGGCCTGATGCTGGATGTGGATGCCGATGATAAGTCAAAAGTGGTATTCTTCTGGCCGAGGATCTAGGAGGAGCAACACTAGATTTCTCAATGGTCAGTATGGGTAAGACTTTTGTGGCGGAAGATGTAGAAGGAGTTATAGTAAACTCCTCAAGAGTTGGTATAAGTAAGACCTTTGATATATCAAGGTGTTCAGAAGAGGTAAAGTAAGGTCGAGACTCAAAAAATGTGACATCGGCTGACATAAGGTACCTACAAAGATCAGATGAGTAGCAACGATATCCCTTTTGAACACGAGAATAATCAAGGAAGACACACTTGAGAGCACGAGGAGCTAATTTATCTTTTCCATGAGCAAAGTTATGAACGAAATATGTGCTCCCAAACATACAAGGGGAAGATAGTATAAGGGTGACTGAGGAAACAATACCGAATACGGAGTCTGACTATGGATGGAAGATGAAGGCATCCGATTAATCAGATAACAAGCTGTGAGAACTGCATCACCCAAAAACACAGTGGAACATGAAACTCAATTAGAAGTGTGCGAGAAGTCTCAATGAGGTATCTATTCTTTCTCTCTGCTGCCACATTCTGCTGAGGGGTATACGGACAAGATGTTAGATGAATAATTTCTTGAGAAGTCATAAACGGTTGAAACTGGGAGGATAAATATTCTAAGGCATAATCACTACGAAAGACGTCAATAGAAACACCAAACTGATTTTTTATTTCAGCACAAAAACTCTAAAATATAGAAAACAACTTAGAACGATCTTTCATTATGAAAATCCAAGTACATATTGAGTAATCATCTATGAAACTAATAAAATAACGAAACCCTAAGGCTGAACTGACTTTACTAGGACCCCATATATCAAAATGAACTAAAGAAAAAACAGACCCTGCACTACTCTCAACATTACGCAAAAAGGTGGCTCGGGTATGTTTCTAGAGTTGACACGACTCACAATTTAATATAGACAAACTAGATAGACTAGGCATCATCTTTTGAAGCTTGGATAAACTTGGATGTCCTAAACGTTTGTGAATTAGGTGTGGGAAATCTATAACTGGATATGTTATGGAAGGATTGGAGTCAGTCAAGGTAGTAAAGGCCTTGTGCCAATCGTCTGTCCCGTACTGCGGTCCTGCATAACAAAAGAGTCATCAATAAAGTATATACCACAATGGAGGGAACGAGTCAACCGACTAACCGATGCAAGATTAAAAGGACAACAAGGGACATAAATGTAACACCCCGAAAAATTTTGAAATACTTAAGTGTAAAGCCCGGTAAAGTTTGCAAAGAAAATAATGTTTCATGGTGTCGGACTAGGCTTAAGTGTTTTGAGGGTTGTAGAAATTCTTCTCGCCGCGGCTCGGACTTTTTAGGTTGAACAATACACCGGAAAGTAAAAAAATTTTTTTGGCGAAAAAGTGCATTTCTGCGGTCCATTATGCGACTGCAGAACCACTCTGCGAACCGCATAATGGCCGCAGAGTAAGGCAGTTAATTGGGTCAGTTGGAAGCAACTATGTGGTCGACTATGCGATCGCATAACTGTTATGCGGTGCATTATGCGACCGCATAACAGTTATGCGGACCGCATAGTGACCGCATACACAAACAATTCTTTTGGCTATTTTGTAACCAATTATGCGACCGATATGCGGTCCGCATATCGGTTATGCGATCACATACCTTGTTCCGGAGCTATATTTTTGGGTTTTTAAACCCGACCCTATTTCGTTAAATACACTCTTTGGGCCATTTTTGAGACATAATCTGATATTCTAGAGTGAGAGAGAGTGCCCTAGAGTGAGAAGGTGCTCTTCAATTCTTGCTCAAGTTTTGGAAGATTAAGAAGGGAAGCTCACTAGGTCTTCATCCTAGAGGTAAGATTCTACACCCTAAACCCTAATTTCGAAATTTTCTGGAAATGGGTAACTAGAAAGATAATTTTTGGGCATGAGAGTTGTTTATTTTATATGCATGTGGTATCAAAGGGTGTAGGAAGATGGTTGAGCTAAAAATGGTAAAGATTGGGTTGTGGGATGATGGAATTCTCCATAAAAGAATCTTGGAACCTTAATGCACACTTAGTGTTTGATAAAATACTCAAATAAGCTCGAACCATGATCATCTTCCTAATTTTGATTCAATTTGTTATATTTCTACAATAGATTGAAGTTGCTAAGAATTCCGGAACATTTAGAGTGTTAGGAAGCTCAAGTGAGGTGGTTCCACAGCAGGAGATATTGATCAGTGATAGCAGTACACCTTCTTCCCAGCTGATTTGGTGAGCCCCACTTCATCCCGGGGTCATGAATCTTTTGTACTTTGTGTATTCTGTTTGAGGTATAGCCGGGGCTTTGTTGCCGGTATTATCATTGTACTCTTCTTTATCTATAGAGGCTCCGTAGACATAGTGTGGGTTGTGTATTAGTGCTGGGAAAAGACAAATTATGTTATGTTGTGGTTGTATTACTTGTCCATCTGAGACTTTAAAAATGATGAAACTATTGGAAATGAATTGGTATTGTAGACATGAACACATTTTCGTCTAATTAATGATAATATGTATTATCTTTATTCGTGGATGAGTTTGGGTAGAATGAAATCTAACAGGCTTGCTCGGTCGGGTTCACTCGGTTGAACGCCGATCGCGCTCCTCGATTTTGGGGCGTGACAATAAAGAACAAAATCTAAAGTGACAGAGGATAAGGGATTAGCTTGTCCAACTCCTTTTGCTTTTGTTTTGGACTCCATTGGAAAGTAAAACAGGGAAGAGACTCTGAATAAACAATATTTGACAAAAGTGACTTATTGCCAGAAATATGATCAGAGGCGCCTGAGTCTATGACCCACGGTCCAAGAATAGTAGACCGGGAAATACAAGCAAAGAAATTACCAGCAACAGAAGTATCAATCTGAGCAATAGAGGCTACTTGTGGAGGTGTCTGCTTACTTGCTCGATACTAAAGGAACTCACTATATTCCCATTCAGATAAAGAAAACCTATGGTTATCTGCAGTCTCTGTTTGAGCAACATGAGCATTTTTAGGTGGTCGACCATGCAAAGAGTAACACACCTCACGGGTGTGTCCAAACCTATTACAATAAGAACACTTGGGTCGAGACCTTCCAAAACGACCTCCTCCTCGTATATTCTCCATAGCATAAGATACCAGATTTTCCACTGTCTGGGATACAACAACATAGGTGTCAGCTGTCTGTGATGAGATCATTATGTGATTGGGTGCTGCAGCAAGGCGAAGTAATCGAGAGAATAGTTCATCAACTGTAGGAACGGTCGGACTAGCCAAAATCTTGTCAAACACTAAATCAAGGTCATTAGGAAGCCCAGCGAGTGTAATAACTAGAAACATCTTTTGTCGCTGCTCTTGTTGCTTTTTAAGACTAGCAGAAACTGGCATCAACTTCTCAAATTCCTTCATGTCTGCCTGTACTTTTTTGGGTATTGAGGTCGCTCAGTCTAGCTCAGGTATTGTGATCTCACAACGAAAGTATGCCTTAAACTTTTTTGAGCGGACAGGAATGACAGGCTATAGATATGTTGACACTCCGATGGATCCGAATTCTAAACTTCTGCCAGGACAGGGGGAGCCGCTTAGCAATCCTGGAAGATATATGTGGCTGGTTGGTAAATTAAATTATCTCACAGTGACTAGACCTGACATTTCCTTTCCATGGATTCTCCATGTGAGTGTCGTCCGGAAAAATATTGTACCTGTCGGAAAACTACTGTAGTTGCCAGAAAATTTTCAAAGTGATCGGAATAAAAATAAAATAGTATGGGTAGGCTCGGAAAAGGGAGGCGACCGCACTGTTCCAAAGAAATTTTTTCAAAAGGTGACCGGAAAAGGCTCCACACGCGCCGGCACGTGAAGTAGATCTCGCCGAAAAACCTGACATCTGATCGGCGTGTGAGAGCGAGTGAGGAGTCGGTTGCCGGAAATTCTTTTTGGGATTTGGTCGCGGAAGCCTTGGGGACCCTGTGGTGGTGTTGGTTTTCACACAACACTAACAGAGACTGATCTTGCGCAAATTAGCCCTAGAAAGCCGCCGGAATTTGACGCACGACAACTGTCCCACTTTCCCGGATGTATCTCACTCGCGCTCTGATACGATGTGAGAAATAATACACGGAAAAATATTTTATTGATTTATTAACAATGATACAATGAGCCCTATATATAGTACATGTTCTATTCCTAATACATATGGAACTAGGATTATTTATACAACTATTTAACAAAAGATAACATACAACATACTGAAGCTAAATCTTATGCTTAAATTCAAAAGGATAGATTAGAAAACCTTAAATATTTCAAGAAATAATACATAGATTTGCAACTAGTACCAGGGGAGTCTGCATTTGGTTGATAAGTCCGGAACAACTCTGACCTCACCCGAGGGAGGGAGCGAATGTTCCTCGGAGAGATTATCAGATGTTGAACTCAATCGTATACATTCAACAGTTAAGCCAAGACCATGATTTTTCACAGAACTGTAGAAGCGATGTTGCAGAACAACCTGTAAGTGATGCGCAAGAAATAAACAAATTCAATCAACTTTTGACCAAAGCAAGGAAATGCCAATTAATATCCAACATCATGCCATAACAGTAATTACAAATCCTGAAACTAGATGAACAAATGAAACTTGTTGTACTTGACCTTGATTAAACATCACATGCAATAGCAGAGAGTTGTCAATGGAAATAATTTGCATAAGGATTACTTCATCTCAACTTTCATGTTATGATAGCCATCAAAATAGTCATAATAATCAGTAAGGCAGTAAAATCATAGCCAAGGAGGAACATTGAAATAATGTAATAATAACTCTATAAATTGACATAGGACACAGAATCTACCAACCAAAAGTTGAAAATAACTCATTCGATTATTCTTTGTATAGGCCTTTTAAACTAAAAATCTGTATTGACACGAGAAGTCAACAACACTTTCATGGTTGGACATAGTAATTGCAGGAGTATATGTTAAATGGACCGTAGGCCTAACTCAACCCCAAAAGCTAGGTCATGAAGTGAAGATTGCCCAAGCTATATTAAGGAGATCACCCATCTGTTAAAGCACCGACATGGGACCCTTCACAATCCCATCATGCACGGGACTGGACATCTGAAGCGTGGACAATTTAATATGGGGGACCAACATGGGGAAACGACAACTGGGATGGGTCCTGCACTTACACCCTGTTAAATGGACATTATTCCTAAATCAACCCCCAAAATTTAGTTCATGAGGTGACGATTGCCCAAACCATTTAAAGAGGACCACCCATCTCTTAAAGCACCCATGTGGGACTCTTCACTATACCCATTACTTTTGAAGAACAGAGAATATAGGAAAGCTTGTTGAATCACAATATCTTATATATGACCATTGATGTTTTACAAAAATAAATTTCTAAAACTTTCCCAAAAGACAAATCATATTTATTTTCACCAGAAGACAACTTCCGACTTGAGATAACATAAAATAGCAGTACTGTGTAGTAATCTATTTTTCTATTTTTATAGTAAAACAACCATTCACCTGTTTCTTGATACTTCTATTGAAATTCTATAATTAGTGCGAGAGCTTTAATCCAACAAAAGAACCGGGATCCCTCCTAGATTTAGCTCCATTCTGGTTGTAATTTAACCTAAGTTGCTCGAACTCTTCAATTTCGGTGCCGTAATCGTGTCGACGCGATGTGGGTGTCGATGGGGATGTGGAATCCGTACAGGATCTGATCAACTGATTTTGGGTACTTTGACCAAAATTGATGGAAGAAATTCGGGACAGATACAATGATTCTTGAAATCAAAACAAAAGCTAGACTGAAATTGAAGAAAATGGAATATCTTATATATAGAAATTTTTAATTTAGTCATTTACCTTTTATCTCCTGCTCGGATTTTCTCCTTGATCAATATTTTCTCCTTCTCTGAATACCTTGTAAGTTTTCCACACATGTCTCATAATTTAGATGTTTTATAACTCTATTTTTAGACATTTGAATTATTTTTAGCCGAATCCCTGCACCCATATTTGTATCCTCAAATCTTAAAATTTAGATGATCTGGACCTCTAGATCTGCACAAGTATCGGACACCCACCCCGAATCTTAGCAACTTAGAATTTAACCATCCGACATATGAATCTAGTAAGTTCACATCTTTGAACTTCAATCCTACTTGCCTAGGCTAGCATATGGACCTTTGCCAATCAATTGGCTTGTGAGAGGAAAAGAAGGAAAAATAGAAAACGCCATATTTCTACACGGTCATTATAGCAAATAAACTATAAACCAATGGAATAACTCCTATAATAACTCCTAAAATTCATTTCTATTGTTAATGAAGGCCGACTAAAAAAGAATGAAGCTAACATGACAATGTATACAACCATCTGAAGGTAACTAAGTCGGTTGGATAAAACTGCAGTATAATACTAGTCATTTGTGACTAGGCTATTGCGACCTGGTGCAAAGACCCTATCCTCCAAATATAACAGGAAGAGACACAGGTTATGTTGTTGGCATCTTGTCAAAAGATCTAGCCTCGGTGGAAAACATTTCAGAAAATGTACGATCACATACTTATTCCTAATGTCTTTCTTAAGCCTGATAAGCAATTTCCGGATCAAGATCTTAGTCTGGCTGGATTTGTTTTGATATGAATTACCATAGTCGAGCTCGTGAGATTAATTAACCATTACGACATGCTAAACTTACCACTCAAGAACAATATCTAGTTAATTATGTGTAATAGACAATTCATTGTATAAGGTTAAAACTCCTCTCTTCTGTTGGCATGGAATAAAGCACGTATTTGTCAACTTGTTAACACACAAAAGCACAGAAAGTCCAAGTTTCTTCCTCAACTACCTATCAAAAGAAAAAAACCTCATCGATTAGATAACAGTGAGTTAGTCGCATGTGCTCCTCCAAATACCTTATGCAAGAACACTAAGCACAGGCTTTTGACGTGATGCATGAATGTTGTACGCAGTACGCACAAGTACATCACGATATACTTTAAGCTAATTCCCCAATAAAGGTATCTTTTGTTGTTGATAGACAAGAACTTTGTTGTACACTATTCAAACTCCTGTATTTTCTGAAAGTTGCACGCTTTGGAAAGCTTATCATTAAACAATTCATAACTGTAAGGTAGAGAGGTAAACACATAAAGTAAAGCTTACACGACATCTATGTTGCGCAGAGAAATCTAACCACATAAGGCGAACAAGTTTAACATCCGTCAATGGGCCATTTAACTCTTCCTTTTGGGAAGATGATAAAGACTGAGATTCTACATCGGAATATCTTGAAGAAGCATCAAGCTTGTAGAATTGCTTTGCATTTTGGGCAAATATATCATTGACAGCTGCAAGAGCTTCTGTAATTGAAAGATCACCATCGATGCATGCATCCCATAGAACTTTGAACACCACTTCACGTGCTTTCTTCGCACCTACAGAGAGAACCAAGTCAAGATTATAGTTATTACAAAGTACAGAGAAGAAAATATAGGAATAAATTACTTAACTAACGTGCTATTCAAGCTGGATGTTTATTGTTTGGCAATGATTTTCTTTTCTGCAAAGATTCTAAACGAACTATATGCTTGATCAAAGTGAAAAATTGCCACCACACCCCCATGAAGCAACATCCTCATTTATCTTATTATTTAGTATATTGACTAATAATAGTACAAATTCAAACTTGAAAGGCATAAAACTATCCACTAGGAAGCATGGAAAATGGACATGTGGAAAGGATAAGCTAGGGAAAAAATGTTGGGTAAGCAACACCAGAATAAATTATGAGGTTAAAAGCATATCAAACATGTATCCTCTATTGTCCAAGCTCCAACTAGAGTTTTTTGGACAATAACTGTGCTACAAGGACATGACATCCTGTTATTACAAGTGTTTGTGCTTCTCAGCTTTCCAGTTATATAAAAAGGATACTTAAGATTACCAGCAGAAGCAAAACTTTTTCGTATTATCTTTAGAGAAAGCAATATGTACAAACTTACCATTTCATTATCCCATTAATAAAGATAAGAACATCTGAGGACATACCTAAATAAAATCTTTCAGCAAATGCGATGCCACCCGTGTTGTTCATGACCTGACGATATTTAAACATTACAGGGGAAATGTTCACTGTTTAAATGGTGCAGTAATTAAAGTGATGAAGAAGTAGTCAATATAAGATTTTGGAAATGCTTAGGCTGAAGTGAAAAGATGGGCTATTAGGACTTCGGTAAATAATTTGAGCCAAGACTTGGTCATAGTTTTATGCTTCGGTAAATAATTTGAGCAAGACTTGGTCATAATTTTATGCTTTTCTAAGTACATGAAAAACCTTATTCATTGGAGCGAGCTCTAGAATTTCTTTCAGTGAGGATACCATCGCTTGGAAGCTAAGTTTAGGTATTGCCAACCCAAAATCAAGATAGACCTGTAATATATCAGAAATTTACCCTGTTAGGGAGACAAACAAACATACAATCTTCATCATATGTATGTGGAGAACTCTCCAATGTCGCAGGTCACACCAAATACCCCAATTAAAAGTTGTGTCTTATCATCAGAGATACATGTTATTAATAGTTTTAGATAGAGAAAAACATACTTGAGGGTACACGGAAGCAAGATATGAAGCTTCCTTTATGAAGGGGAATGATGCATGTAAAAGCACTATTCGATTATTAGTGAATCTCTTATCCTCGAGAAGATTGCGAAGATTAAGGGGATTGGCTGGCCTCAGATCCAAATCCTTGTCCCCAAAACTGTAATGAAAAAGATAAAACCATGTACTCTTGAGGGACTAGGAAGATACTTAAAAAACCAAATTACTGTTGTCTGTCATTTAAACTTTAATCTTATATAAGAAAATTTTACATGTAACACGAAGCTCAAAGACTCTAAACCTAGTCAAATAGAGGGAAGATAGGAAGAAAATTAAGTCCCCTATATGTATTTTTTTACTCTGTGTCTATCTGCATTGGCAAGTCAAAATTTTGAGCCACCTCCAAAGCATGCATGAAGATATAATCAACAAAGCTCTTGTTTGAGATTCTGATTGGCTTCCTAGCTGGAAATACAGAAACTATTATAATTATTCACAATCACGGTGCATAAGAACCCCAAATCTTGCAAGACTCACCACATAAAACGTCGTTCAGGCTCTCCTCAGCCTCCTTTTGAGTGACTTCAGTATTAACGGAAAGTCCATTATGATGTGCAACAATACTTTTAAAGGCAACAACTTTCTCAGCTTCTGTATGAAACAGTCAGGAACAACTTTTGGAACCTTAACTTATTATTAATCGAAAGAAACATAAACTCTGATACATATTGACCAAAATTCCAAAGGATATGACTTCAATTCCTTAGTGAAAGCCTCCATGAATGAACCCAGTGTCCACAACGTTCCATTTGGACCCTGCAATAGAATAGCAGAGGAGAAAGATGCTAAAAATCCAACAAAGGAAAAAGTTTCTAGAGATATTGCATGGCAAAAGAATAAGCTTTCACTCCCTTACGCCAAATGATATTAACAGATAGATCTTTTGTTCTATATGCAGCCTACAAATTCAGATTTTATCAAAGGACGCACCTTTTTCGGCGCTGTTAAAGGCCTAATATGTTGTAGTGATATATCTCATGTACTTGTTTGCAGAAATATTGTGCAATATAAATTCTTTCATTACCTTCTCAAGAATCTTTTCGGCTACATGCTCAACTTGTAGTATTCTACCAACTGTTGGTACCAGAGTTTCGTGCCATTGGATGTCAAGCTTTTTGTTCAACTTAATTCCGTCGTCAATAAGTAAGATAACAATTCTTGCAGCTTTGAAGCAAATAGCAGCACTCGCCTCCAACCCAAAGCGTCGACAAGATTCTTCAACAGCATCCAAGGATAAGCTTGAGCCATACAGTTCACAAATTTCATTTAGGCCTCTCTGAAAGAAACAGACAGTACTTTAAGAAGAATGGCGAAATAGCAAAAGGATAATGTTTAAGAACTGGATCCATGATCATGACAAGCTAACAGAAAGCCACATGAATAAGTAAAAAGAGCAAATGACAAGAACACCTTTGGCTTGTCCTTGGCCAGACAATATGAAGTAATGATTTATAGCACAACCACACTCCTAAAAAGGATGCGAGGGAACTTTTATTTTTATTTATCTCTATGTTATTCTGATAGATCAAAGAGTAAAGGAGGAAAAGTACAGCATAGAACCAAGACATATCACATTTAAAAATGGAAACGTACAATAAGAACATAATTGTTGCGTGAAAACTCAGGGATCCGGTCATGTTCGATATCATCCCAAGCAAAGTACACGGAAAACTAAGTGTTGAAGACATAATTAAAAGTGTGACCACTTAGGTCTACGTTGCCACGATATTGTTCTATGGAAGCGGACGGTTCTCTAATAGCTTAAGCTTCTAGATGAGACGGACACAAAATTCATCATTAAGATTTCTCTTTCAAAGACACAAGAAAGTTATTACTTTTTTACGGAACAACAAATCCTCCTCGGTTCCTATTATAAACTATAAAGTATAAACACAGTTACTTCAACCATCAAAATTTATATGCCACTTTTTTCATTTTGAACATCCTGGAATGTTTGACACTATTTTACTGATACTACTCTTTGCTACTTTAACAACTTTCAAGAAATTAAATTTGTACAACTATTCATATTGTAAACATTACGATGATGTTTTCTCTATAAAATTAACAGTTAGTCTAACATTTTGTTTTATTGCCACTAATACAATATATAAGCCAAGTAGACATATTAAATAATAGAGAAAGTATATAACCCAAATTAACATGTTATTCTTGCATCTTTTTGTATTCTTACTTCTATCTTCTTTGAGTAACGTTAAGACTACTAGTACCTCAGTATCTATACATGGTAAGAGGGAAAAAGGGTGCAAGATAAGGTAATTAGGAAATTGTGGCGTGGGATAAGAATAGACCTTGAAGTCGATGGGTTGAAGTGAATCACATAAAGTGTCGCCTATGACTTGAGAGAAGCAGCTGAGGAAAGGGACAGTGGAGTCGAGCGCCACAATGTTGTGGGCACGAGCATGGAAAATTTGGAAAATTTTGAAGAGCTCAAAAGAGCAGTGGCAACGTAGACCTAAGTGGTCACACTTTTAATTCTACAATCTCCACTGCTCTTTTGAGCTCTTCAAAATTTTCCATATTTTGTCTTCCGTTTCCAATTTCAGGTCATAAGTTAAGTCATTCGGGGTGTTTACTTCATCTGGTGATATGAAATTATTAGTCTCTGTAGCTCCAAAACACATTATAGAAAAGACACTTGTAGATTGGCGGTGGTGAGGAAGTCAGCAACGAAATTACCGAGGATGACTGCGATGCTTTCCCTCAATTATGGATCTAAGATGAAGCACAAGAACGATACTTGAATATATTTTGTGGTGATGACTACGTCAACTTGGAGCTCGGCCATGAGTCCCGAACCAAAATAACTTCTCTCACACTTTCTCTCCTCTCTTCTTTAACTTCATAGATTAATAATGTCTAATACTTCATAAAGTTCAATGCATTCCATAAAACATCATATTCACCGCTATGGAGATTACTAGAAGTTTGAGGACTTCAATATGTAGAAGATTTTGGGATTGCAAACTTTAGAGTAATTTTTGTCGATTAATATTTAAATAGGATATGAGATTTTACTCATTCATTAATAATTACTTATTGTATGGTACAGAATAAAGGGACTTGCAACTATTTTAGGAGGCACGATGAGCCAACGATTAACCAAAACTCATTGTTGAGAAGTCCCTCGGTTGACGATTATATCGCGACTTCACAAAGCAATATGAAGTATGTACAACAGTTTACTCGCAAAGAAGCCGAAGAAGACAGTAATTTTCTTAGAACATCACTGAAAGAATTGAAACAATTAAGAGAACACCTAAAAGATAAGTTAGACCAAAATTGAACATGAGAGAAAACATGTGAAAAAACAATTGAATGAAGAGCAGAGGAATCGTTTAAAGTTGATATGTGGTTTATTGTTGTTGTTTGTTATTTGAAAATATTATATTGTTGATTAGATTTATCTTTATCGTTTGTATGTATTTTGTATTATCAGCACATTAGTAGTTACTCGTTTTGGTAGATTGTATGCTTTATTTTTTATTTTGTATTTTGTTGTTCGTCTTTTTTATAAAGAAGTATGACATGTTATACAAATTGTTATACAGCAATCTTTATATGTTATTAGGTTTCATATTCTGAAACATCATACACTACGAAATCATAGAAATTCCACTAATTTATAGGGTAGAAGCACTCACTATTGTCATTTGATAGATAATCTTCATTTGCTATGGCATTTTTTTCTTTTAGCTAATGTCAAATTCCTACCAATTGATGTCGCTTGTTCCTCAACCAACTTGAGCATATAGAACCGATTGCGTCTTAATAACATTCGATTTTTCTCTTTTCTAATCCTTTTTACTTCAATCTCGCATGATTCTCGATCAATTCGAGGCATGGTTGGATAGGAGTTACGAGCATTCATGAGCAAGGCATTTTGATTCAGACCGAGACGTTACGAGCATTCATAGAGATCGTAGGGGCAGCAGACCGAGACGCAACTCTGTACGAGGTGAAAGGGGAAGTGATCGAGGCCCAGGGTCTCGAGGGCTGATGAACAAGAATGGTTTCGACAGGCACACCGGACCTAAGAAAGCACCACGATTGTCAGAGTATAACTTTAACATTGATGCATCTGCCATCGTATCGGCTATCGGACGCATCAAAGATACTAAATGGCCTCAACCTCTACAGACCGATTCAGCCCAGAGAAATCCCAATCAAATGTGCAAGTATCATGGTAGTCATGGCCACAGAACGGAAGATTGCAGGCAGTTGAGAGAAGAAGTAGCCCGGTTGTTCAATGAAGGGCACCTTCGAGAATTTTTAAGTGATCGGGCCAAGAATCTCTTCAAAAANTGCAAGTATCATGGCACTCATGGCCACAGAACGGAAGATTGCAGGCAGTTGAGAGAAGAAGTAGCCCGGTTGTTCAATGAAGGGCACCTTCGAGAATTTTTAAGTGATCGGGCCAAGAATCTCTTCAAAAACAGAGAGGTCAATAGACAAAACGAGCAAGAAAAGCCGCAACACATTATTCACATGATTATAGGAGGGTCGATGTTCCCCAAGGGCCAGTGTTTAAACGCACTAAGGTATCGATTATAAGGAAGAATCGATCTCGGGCTCAGGATTACATACCAAAAGGAACCTTGTCCGTCCACGACGAAGACACAGAAGGAATCATGCAGCCCCATAGCGATGCACTGGTAATATCTGTACTCATGAATAAAACTCAAGTTAAGCGTGTGTTAATTGATCCAGGTAGTTAGGCCAACATCATTCGATCGAGGGTCGTAGAGCAACTCGGTCTACAGGATCAGGTCATGCCCGCGACCCTGGTACTAAAGGGATTCAACATGGCATGTGAAACTACTAAGGGCGAGATAACTCTGCCAGTAAACGTGGCCGAGACCATCCAAGAAACAAAGTTCCACGTGATCGAGGGTGACATAAGATATAACGCCCTGTTTGGGAGACCATGGATCCACAATATGAGAGTAGTACCCTTGACCCTTCACCAAGTTCTAAAATTCCCAACACTAGATGGAATCAAAACAATCTATGGGGAGCAACCAGCCGTAAAGGAAATGTTTGCCGTCGACGAAGAGATTCCGATATCATCACTCTCATCGACAAAGGGGTCAAACTCGAAGGTAAAACAGGATACCAAATAGAAATCACAAATGCCAGCCTCAACCCAACTAGAGAAGCAGGAGACTGACGAAGATGATGATTATGGGATCCCCCGATCCTTCGTGGTCCTCGATGATTCCGACGCTACCAAATCAATGGTCGAAGAACTGGAGCAAATCATACTAATCGAACATCTTCCCGAACGAAAGGTATACCTGCGCACAGGGTTAAATCCCGAGCTTAAGAAAAAGCTTATTCAATTTCTTTTAGCTAACATGGATTATTTCTCTTAGTCCCATCTTGACATGACAGGGATCCCACCAGAAATCACCACTCCTAGACTAAGCTTGGATCCGAAATTCCATTTGATGAAGCAAAAAAGAAGGCCCCAGTCCGAGGTCAAACATGCCTTCAGCAAGGACGAGGTAACCAAACTTCTCAAAATAGGATCCATTCGGGAAGTGAAGTACCCCGAATGGTTAGCGAACGTGGTGGTAGTCCCTAAGAAGGGAAACAAACTTAGAATATGTGTAGATTATAAAGATCTGAATAAAGCATGCCCCAAGGATTCTTTTCCTTTGCCCAATATCGATCGTATGATCGATGCCACGGCTGGCCATGAGACTCTCAGTTTTCTCGATGCCTACTTCGGGTACAACTAGATACAGATGAACCCGGAGGATCAGGAAAAGACCTCGTTTATCACTAAGTACGGTACCTACTATTATAATGTAATGCCATTCGGTCTAAAAAATACTGGTGCAACTTATCAACGCCTAGTAAACCGAATGTTCGAAGAACAAATAGAAAAATTAATGAAAGTTTATATTGATGACATGTTAGTCAAGTCCCTGCGAGCAGAGAACCATTTAAAGCATTTACAGGAGACTTTTGATATACTGAGAGACTACAATATGAAGCTCAACCCCGAAAAGTGTGCATTCGGGGTTGGTTCGGGCAAGTTTGTTGGTTTCATGGTGTCCAATCGGAGGATCGAGATCAACCCTGATAAAATCAAAGCTATCGAGGATATCACGGTAGTGGATAATGTAATGGCCGTGTAGAGGCTGACAGGGCAGATAGCCTCCCTAGGACGATTCATTTCGAGATCCTCAAATAGGAGCCACCGATGTTTCTCGCTGCTTAGGAAGAAGAGCAATTATGCATGGACTCCGGAATGTCAGCAGGCCTTGGAAGAACTAAAGCGGTATTTATCGAGCCCGTCGCTGCTTCACACCCCGAAAGTGGAAGAACAGCTTTACCTGTACTTGGCAGTCTCGGAGATAGCGGTAAGTGGAGTCCTGGTCCGAGAAGAAAAAGGTACACAATTCCCTGTCTATTACGTTAGTCGGACCTTAGGTGAGGCCAAAACTAGATATTCACACTTAGAAAAATTAGCGCTTGCTTTAATAAGAGCCTCTAGAAAACTAAAACCATATTTCCAATGTCATCCAATATGTGTTGTAACAACTTATGCTCTTTGAAATATTTTGCACAAACCCGAGCTTTTGGGTCGATTGGCCAAATGGGCCATAGAAATCAGTGGGTACGATATTGAGTATCGAACCCGAACCGCTATCAAATCTCAAATCTTGGCAGACTTCGTGGCTGATTTTACTCCGGCCCTCGTACCCGAGATTGAAAAAGAACTACTAATAAAATCGGTTACATCTTCGGAAGTCTGGACCCTCTTTACGGACGGTGCTTCCACCGCGAAGGGGTTCAGACTAGGCATCATACTAAAATCACCCACAGGTAATGTAGTTAGACAGTCTATCAGAACTACAAAATTGACTAACAATGAGGCCGAGTATGAGGCCATAATTGCAGGTCTCGAACTAGCTAGAAGCTTAGGAGCAGAGGTCATAGAGTCTAAGTGTGATTCCCTCCTCGTGGTAAACCAAGTTAACAGGACTTTTGAAGTCCGAGAAGACTGAATGCAGAGGTACTTGGATAAACTATAGGTGAGTCTACATCAATTTAAGGAATGGACCTTGCAACATGTACCTCGAGAACAAAACAGCGAGGCCAACTCTTTTGCAAACTTAGGTTCATCGGTCGAAGATGACGAACTCAACTCAGCGACCGTCGTACAACTCATGAGATCTATAATTGAAGAAGGTCACGCCGAGATAAACTCCACAAGTTTAACCTGGGATTGGAGAAACAAATACATAAAATACTTAAAGAACGGGAAGCTTCCATCAGAGCCAAAGGAGTCGAGAGCTCTACGCACAAAGGAAGCACGGTTCACTTTGTCCGAAGATGGTACGCTATTTAGAAGAAAGTTCAATGGACCATTGGCAATATGCTTGGGACCAGGAGATACCGACTACATCCTACGGGAAATTCACGAGGGCACTTGTGGAAATCATTCCGGTGCTGATTCGCTGGTCCACAAAGTAATCAGCATAGGGTATTATTGGACTGATATGGGC